TACTTCTCGGATATGGCAATGGTTCTTTTGCAAATCAAACTACGTATGCAGTTGACTATTATCCACAATCTATAGCTGTTGGTGATTTCAACAATGACACTCAACTGGATATCGTCGTTACCCAGCAGTATGACAAGACTATAAGTGTACTTCTCGGATATGGCAATGGTTCTTTTGCAAATCAAATTCAATATTCAACTGGCTCTGAGCCATATTCTGTAGCTGTTGGTGATTTCAACAATGACACTCGACTGGATATCGTCGTTGCTAATACTGCTGACAATACTGTAAGTGTACTTCTGGGATATGGCAATGGTTCTTTTGCAAATCAAGTTACCTATTCAACTGGCTCTGGTCCAACTGTTGTAGCTGTTGGTAGTTTCAACAATGACACTCGGCTCGATATTGTGCTTATTAATTCAGGCGACAAGACTATAGGTATATTTCTTGGTTATTTAAATAAGGTTTTCCAATACCAAATGACACTGATAACTAGTAAGAGGTCTGTTCCGCGATCATTGGTCGTTGTCGATTTCAATAATGACACTTATATGGATATTGTTGTCGCGAATTCAGGCACCAATAATATTGGTATTTTTCTAGGATTTGGTAATAGTTCTTTTTTAAATCAAATAACATTTGCAACTGGCTCTGGTCCATGGTCTTTAGCTGTTGCTGATTTAAACAATGATAATCGATTAGATATTATCGTGAGTAATATTAATGATAGTAATATCGGTGTGTTTCTCGGTTTTGGTAATGGATCTTTTGCAAATCAAACAATATATTCAACTGGAAGTAATTCTGAACCTTACTCAGTTGCTATTGGTGATTTTAATAATGACGCCTTATTAGATATCATTGTCGCTAATTACCGTGCTAGTAACGTAGTTATATTGTTTGGATCTGGTGGTGGTACATTTACAGATTCAAAAGTATATTTGGTTAGTTATGGATCTTTTCCATTTTCTGTTGTTGTTGGTGATTTCAACAATGATACAAAGCTAGATTTTGCGGTCGCTAACTATGGTACTGACAACTTAAAGATTTTATTACAGACTTGTTAATTTTTCTCTCGAACTTTACACATTTCTATTGTACATTATTTTTCTATATTATGCGTTTGCTATTATTAATATTTATTATAAACTTTTTTTATGTTTTACTATATTCAATATATTCAATTAGTTAGAACTATCAAACAAATATGTTCATAAATAACAAAACTAAAGGACGTTTTTTCACAGAAGCCTGATCAAGTACTATTGTCGTGAAACTGTAGCTAGCGCAAA